GTAAAAAAAACGTAATATTGAAAACACCTAATTTAATATTGACCGCAAGATATGTTAAAAATGTTTTAAGAGGTATGTAAATTTATTTCATATAATTTTTATACCGTACAGAAAGGCTGACGGTAGATCACGCTTGTCGAGATACCAATATAAACAAGTAAGGAAAGGCTAAGTTCGGATGTAACTGAACATTTTATACTCTCGCAAAGTCAAATGGTATACTCGTTTGAGATTTCTTTGTGGATTGACTGATATTTTCGGTAGAAGGTCAACTATAGGCAATGGGGTCCATATATTTAGTACTTAGGGGTTTGAACAGTTTTGGTTCGATTTAGACAATTTTTGACCGCAAGGTGGCATACTTTAATTGCATTATTCACGCAAAGTTTTACCCCGATATAATCATTGTTACCTGATTTGCATAGTGGAAGGTGAAAGAATCAGATGGAATCGAAAATGGTGTTACATGGGAAGTAAGCGTGGTTGTAGTCCGATTTCGCCCATTTTCGCACTATGACATAAAAACATGAAAAGAACGTTATGCACCGAATTTGGTTGAAATCGGTTGAGCAGATCTCCAAATATGGGTTTTCACCTCAAAGTGGGCTGTGCCACGCCCACAGACTAATTTTGAACGCGGTTCCTATAAAGCCAATTTATACCATCTCAGAGATAAAATTTAATGTCTCTGGCGTGTTTAGTGCTTGATTTATCGCGCTTTAAGTAGTTTTTAACAGTACCGTTATATGGGGAGTGGGCGGAGTTGCCACCCTATTTCAACTATTTTCACTCCGTCAATAAAAGTGCTCAAAGCATTTGCTTCTAGTGAATTTTGTTATTATAGCATTAGCGGTTTAGGAGATATGCACGTTAAACCTATTAGAGGACCACGCCCACTTTTTAAAAAAAAGTTTTAACTGCAGATGCCCTGCAAGTTATTTGTTTTTGATTAATGGCGTTTTGTGGGCGTGGCAGTGGTCCGATTACGCCCATCTGCAATACCAACCGTCTCACGGTACCAAGAAACATGTCTACCAAGTTTCATAAAGATATCTCAATTTTTACTCAAGTTAGAGCTTGCACGGACGGACGGACGGACGGACGGACGGACAGACAGTCACCCGGATTTCAACTCGTCTCTTCATCCTGACCATTTATATATATAACCCTATATCTAACTCGATTAGTTTTAGGTGATACAAACAACCGTTAGGTGAACAAAACTATTATACTCTGTAGCAACAGGTTGCGAGAGTATAAAAACGAAGACTTGAAAAAGACCCAGAGCGACAAAAGCAAGCAGGGGCATTAGAGTCCATTTTGAAGAAAGGTGATCTAAACAGACCATCATCACCCATACCAGAAACCGGAGCTATAGCTGAGATTCCGCTTAAACCTCGAGAAGAACATACGTCCGACTTCAATATAATCTGTGAACCTGGTGCTTCTATTTCTGGGTCAAGCGCTATTACAGGTGAAAGTGCTATTACAGGGGAAGAGGCTATGACAGGTGAAACTGCTATTGTAGGTGAAGGTGCTATTGCAAGTCCAAGTGTTTCTACAGAGTTAACATCTATTGTAGATGTCGACCCAGCTACGTGGCCCAATAGATTAACATACACAGAAATAATATATTTGGTAAATAGGTTCTCCAGACCCACTGTATGAATTTCAATTTCCACAAGATACCAATGGTCGGAGATTTACTTCGAGATACTATAAGAGAAAGCTTAATAACGGTTAAGAAATTTTAAGAGATTGGCTTTCATATTCTGTGGCAAAAAATTTATTGTATTGCTTTTGTTGTAAAATCTTCAATACAACTATAACTTCCGGTCTATCTGAAGATGGCTACAAAAATTGGAGTCATGTAGGTGATATGCTTAAATCTTCTGAGACATCACGAGACCATGTAAAAGCAGTAAAATCTTGGTTAGAACTTTCACGTAGGCTCAAATCGTGTCGTACGCCGTGTCCCAGAGGATAATTAAATCAGAAATAGAACGCTAGAATAGAATATTGTTACGAATTGCCTTAATCATCAAAATGTTGGCTAAAAATAGCTTGGCTTTGGGTATTTCTGATAATCTGTATCAACATAACAATGGTAATTTTTTAATACTAGTAGAGTTGTTAGCCAAATTTGATCCCGTTATGCAGGAACATGTACGCAGAGTTTTGAAAAAAGAGGAGAAACAAGCAACCTACTTAAGTAAAACAATTCAAAATGAGTTTATTAATACAATTTCAGACGGCATAAAAAAACATTATGTTATGGAAGCTATCATTACGTCGAAATATTATTCTATTATTTTAGATCGTAATCCAGACGCTAGTAAAACTGAGCAGATGACCATGATAATTAGGTACCTTTTATATTATTCAATCACAAGACCATTCAAGAACATTCAGAAATTGTAATAAATGAAAGTTTTTTAGGGTTTATACCAATCGAGAAATCAACAGGTCTGGCCCTAACAAAAATTATCGTAGAACAATGACCAGCACTTGGATAAGAGGGCAAGGGTACGATAATGGATCTAATATGAAAGGTATTGAAAGTGGAGTTAAAGCCAGGATTAAAAGAACCAATCCACGGGCATTGGTGGTTCTTTGCAGTAGTCATTCTTTAAATTTAGTGGTAAACGACATGGCAAACTCCTCACTGAAATTCATACTGTTTTAATAACAGTAAAATAATTGTTATTTTCACTTAAGATAAAGGTGGTCAATTTTTGAAGAATGCAAAGGTATTACTTAATACTATGTTTGCAATGACACAAAATTCGTGTTTTCATAGACAAAAGAGGTTTTCACGCGAAAACTTGTGTTTTCATCCATACAAAATCTGTCAAACGAAAACACAGTTTTCGCTGAAAACCCTTTGAAAACTTACATTCCACTCATTATAATCGGCGCCTGCTCTAGTTTAATCGATATTATTAGAAGACATATTTTGCGAGCCCTAAATGTCAGTTGACAATTTGATTACATTCCATAATTGGTACCCTACAAGAAACTGCTGATGGGTTCGCCAATACACTCACATTTGATATGTCACTACTTTTTAAATTCAGAACTATTCACTGATTGGAGAAAGACGTACGCAGAGCTATTGATAGATGGAGATGGCATCAAGTGAAAATTAATTTTTATATTTTCATATTTTATTATATTTTTTCTTGCATTCCTTTTTAAATTAAGTATATTATTATAACTAATTTTGATTAAAAGTTTGAAATTTATTAAAGAAATAAAAATTATATTATCTACTGCGCAAAAGAATTTTTCACTTCTGATAGCATTTCAGTCATTACTGACAATTTTCAGCTATGACGGATTTATGGTCAGCAATGACTCAGAAAAAGACATCAGAGTGAGCAGTATAGATATATAGTGAATCAATTGCGAATACCCATGTGTTAAAGAGAGATGCAAACTCACACACATACGTTTGTTTACATCACTTTTTGCACAAGGCTCTTAAGAAAATGATAGAAACTTTGTTCTGCGCGCTGACAAAATTTTTTCAGCTATGACTGTCATATTACCCATCAGATGACCGTCACTGTTCTTGTAGGGTACATAACAAATGTAAACAAATAAATGTGTGAACTGTCAATGAAAACTCATCGAAAACACACAATTGGTTCCACAATCCACAAATTATGTTTTCAAGAGGATTTTAATTCGGTACGAACATAGTATTAGTAAATTAATGCAAAGTAAAGATTCTAACTTAGTTTCCGTCATTAAATTACTTAAAAATACAAAAGATTGCTATGAAAACTCATGTTCAGACAAGATTTTACTCAAATTCTTGAAGCCGCCAAAGCCATAGCTTCTGAAATTGATTGCGAGGTGTTAGATTTTGAAAATGTGGCTAGACCTAGTGCACGATCCAAGAAAAAGCATTTAACTTATGAGTGTGTTGAACCAATCATTGAGCACCGTCAAATATATAAAATTGAAGTATTTTTTCACATTATAGATACAGCCATAAATTCTTTATAATTAAGATTTTCCCTGATATTGACCATAATAAACAATTAAACAGTTTGGTCTTAATCTTTTTAACTTCTGAAACGATTTTGATGAAAAATGTTTATTGTTCCTTTAGTTAAAGGGCAACATTAGTAATACATAGGCTTTTCTGTAATTTCCAAATGAATGGGAGAAACCTTAGGTGACCACCCTTAGATGGCCAATATACTGTGACGAACACGGATGATAGAACAAAATCGAATCAACGATAAAATGCCAGAAGCAACTAGTTACCGAATTCGTAGTTGCCAGAATGTTCTAGAAGCAATGTTTTGTTACAGATTTACTATATAAGGGCTGCCGGATTGTGCAGCAAACACAGTTCTAGTTAGAGTGTTGTCGTGATAAGAGCAATCAAGCTATAAGCAAGAAGTTGTAAGCTCGAATAACGAGCAATAAGTGTTAAGTTGTTGGAATTAGAAATGAAGATAAGTGTGTAGCCATTAAATGGGGACTTTTATTTAACAATCCAGTGATTGAACTCAAGAGTGAGTTACAGGTAGACAATTTATCGAGAAATCCGTTACAATATGTATATCTATGACTATATATTGTGACGAACATGAATGATATAACAAAATCGAATCAACGATAAATTGCCAGAAGCAACTAGACAGTTAATTCCTAGTTGCCAGAATGCTCTTGAGGCAAAGTTTTGTTAAAGATCTACTATATAAGGGCTGCCGTATTGTGCAGCAAAGACAGTTCTAGTTAGAGTGTTGTCGTGATAAGAAGAATTGAGACATAAGCAAGAAGTTGTAAGCTCAAATAACGAGCAATAAGTGTTAAGTTGTTGGAATTAGAAAAAAAGATAAATGTATAGCATTAAATTGGGACTTTTATTTAACAATCTAGTGATCGAACTCAAGAGTGAGTTACAAGTAGAAAATTTATCGAGAAATCCGTTACAATATGTATATCTATGACTATATATTGTGACGAACATGAATGAAATAAGAAAAACGAATATACAATTTACTACTCAAGAAGAATAAAAAAAGCGTAATTTCACTAAAAACAGGGATAAAGGGACGCTTATTCCAGTGTGAGAGCGCTTCAAAATTAGCGTCTTTTATAACATTTTGCGTTGTAGCCAGCTCAGTCAAAATAAAAATTGTTGGGCATTTAAACTAAAACACCCAACATTTATTAAGATTTAAATTATTATATATATATCCGATTAACACATGGAGGAACTATTTAAATCCTTTTTTGTGATTTTGTGATATTTTAAAACAACCGGTTTTTGAACATTCAATAGTTAAGAGAGTTGAGCATTCCTTCATCTCTGCTACAAATTTGGCTTTTAGAGAGGTGAGTTCTTCTTTTTATAAATATGTTGTAAAATTAATTATATTTATATTGTAAAATTAATTTTTTTTACTTTATACATTGAAAAACGCGACACAAAACCGATCAATAAGGTACGCATTGTGGTATGTGTTTTGTTTTTATAACCAAAACTTTTATTTTTTGCAGCATTGCGGAAAAATTGCATTCCTAGAATAAAACCAATTCAGGTGAGTAAATTATTAATTAATAACTTTAAAAAGTGAACAAATATAGTTAGTTAACTAATATTTAATATAAGAAATTATGTTTTAGATTGATAAATATGCAATTTAAACATAATTATGTTGGAGGTTCAAGACGATACATGGATTTTGATTGGTATTGGTATACCATCGTTTGTTGGAAAGATTTTGCCTCATTTTCACTCATAATTTGTAAACGTTACAAAGAACGATTTGTGGAGCATCGACAGATTCTATTGCAAGATTTTGTATATTGGGCTTGTCGTCATCCGGTACTGTGACAGTGCGAAGTGTGGCATCATTTTTTGACCTGCTACTGTGACAAGATGTTGAAATCAAGCATAAGGAAAGCCAAACGTGACACATATGTAGGAGTCTCTTATTGTTGGGCCATATCTCTTAACATTATCCAATGAGACGGCGAAACGTTATGAAACACAATGTAAAAAATAACTGCAACGTATTGGTGATGGCAGGTCGGACCTGGCAAAGGCCTTAAATAGAGACGAGCGTCGTGCACCCTTAAAAACAACACCGTTATCGGAAAGTGTTGGGCGTAAAGTTCGCCTCGGATCGGAAAGTTAAACCATAAATTGGACTCGATACCATTCACAGACCGTTTTTAGTTCTACAGTCAATACGACACGAGAGTTAGTCTCTTTTTAGTTACATATGCCTAAGGAATGAAAGAACCTTGTGCCTAGCTTAAAGATACCCAAAAGCCAATATTTCAGTATCTACTAACTGGTATTAGAGTAATTAATCTAATTGCTACCTCGCTTGTCAATCTCGTTCATAAATGGCTTCATTTTCTATGTATTTTTTATGTAGAGGGAGGCTAAACTAATTGAGCCAGATATTTTGTATACATGTAGCTTTATAATTGTAGTATATATAAATATATTGTTAAATGTACTTCTTTAAGTATACAATTTAAGTGTTAATACTTATATTTAACCTATATACATATGTGTAACATAGTATATATCAATATGTACACGTTTAAGATNAGGTACACAATTTATGGAGGATCACACACCACTGATTTATAATTAAAGTTGTTTGATTTTTAAGAAAAACTCGGTATCGCGATATATTTTATACAAGTAATAAGTTTTGATTTATTCCGTCATATAAGAACTGTGTTTTATAATAATTCTTCCGGATAGAGTGGTGAGTACATGTAGAGGGAGGCTAAACTCATTGAACCAGATATTTTGTATGCATGTAGCTTTATAATTGTAGTATATATAAATATATTGTTAAATGTACTTCTTTAAGTATACAATTTAAGTGTTAATACTTATATTTAACCTATATACATATGTGTAACATAGTATATATCAATATGTACACATTTAAGATATTTGAATAATTAGTTAGTAATAAGATAGTAAGTAAATACGTTTTTTAATAAAATAAAGACAAAAAAATATTGAATTTTATTTAACAAAATTGGAATTGGTTATGTCAACAAGAAGGTAACCGATAAGCTAATATACGAATTTGTTAAAAGAAACAAACAGGTAATAAATTATATAACAAATCGAGGCAACAGTTATGCTTGTTAAAGCCAACAAATAGAT